CCCCGCAAACACAACTAGGTGAGTACACACACACACCCACCCATCCATACATACACGCACGCTCGCACACGCGCGCTTATTGTCTCCAACGAGTGGAATTATACCAAGTGTGGCAAGGAGTGAAGGCAAGCGTGTTGAGAGAGGGCCGGCTGGGGGAGGGGGTGTTGCGTCACCCTTGAGCTACACCTCCGCGCGCCAACTTGTCATTGGCTGGCGTCACACAGTTGCTTCTCATTGGCTACTGGCCAGTGTTGCCGGCTACTGGGAGTGCTTCACTTGGCACCGCGCCAGCAATACCGGCTCACGTGCTCTCCTCCTACTTTAACCTTCTATTATTAATACAAAAACTTGTGAATCACGTTGTAATCGGCTTTTATTCTTCGACTAAGAAGCCAGGTAGGGTTTTGGCAACATTATAACAAAGCGACTAAGTTTTAGCAATTCGTTATTTTAAATTCATAATAAATTTTTATTCAGGAAAAGTACATACATAGTTGATTTACAAAAATAATGTTGGATTTATAGATAGAGCTAGTACATACAATAGCTAAAGCCACTAGTACATACAATAGCTAAAGCCACTAGTACATACAATAGCTAAAGCCACTAGTACATACAATAGCTAAAGCCACTAGTACATACAATGCCTAAAGCCACTAGTACATACAATGCCTAAAGCCACTAGTACATACAATGCCTAAAGCCACTAGTACATACAATGCCTAAAGCCACTAGTACATACAATGCCTAAAGCCACTAGTACATACAATGCCTAAAGCCACTAGTACATACAATGCCTAAAGCCACTAGTACATACAATGCCTAAAGCCACTAGTACATACAATGCCTAAAGCCACTAGTACATACAATGCCTAAAGCCACTAGTACATACAATGCCTAAAGCCACTAGTACATACAATGCCTAAAGCCACTAGTACATACAATGCCTAAAGCCACTAGTACATACAATGCCTAAAGCCACTAGTACATACAATGCCTAAAGCCACTAGTACATACAATGCCTAAAGCCACTAGTACATACAATGCCTAAAGCCACTAGTACATACAATGCCTAAAGCCACTAGTACATACAATGCCTAAAGCCACTAGTACATACAATGCCTAAAGCCACTAGTACATACAATGCCTAAAGCCACTAGTACATACAATGCCTAAAGCCACTAGTACATACAATGCCTAAAGCCACTAGTACATACAATGCCTAAAGCCACTAGTACATACAATGCCTAAAGCCACTAGTACATACAATAGCTAAAGCCACTAGTACATACAATAGCTAAAGCCACTAGTACATACAATAGCTAAAGCCACTAGTACATACAATAGCTAAAGCCACTAGTACATACAATAGCTAAAGCCACTAGTACATACAATAGCTAAAGCCACTAGTACATACAATAGCTAAAGCCACTAGTACATACAATAGCTAAAGCCACTAGTACATACAATGCCTAAAGCCACTAGTACATACAATGCCTAAAGCCACTAGTACTTGATTTGTAGAGCATTTCTAGTTTGGTTAAGTCGTACTCTTGGAATATCAAATTGGTATTTGTTTCTGGTGTGGTGCCCACGAGTTCTGTTACAACCTTCTAGGAAGCTTATAAGGTCAGGACTGACATTGCAGTTCAGAGTTCTAAAACTATAGAGTACGCATGAGAGGATGTGCAGTGACTTAATATCTAACATATTCAAAGATTTGAGTAAGGGTACCGAGCGCTTATATATTTTTATATGAAGCTGAACAAAATTCGAGGTAAGAAGCAAGTTTAACCACTTACTTTATGCGTGGTAATTTATCATTATCATAGGACGGACCTTGAGTGTGCATCTGTGAGTATAGAGCAGCCATACCCAGCAGTGTATTAGTACACTGAATAGAGCAGCCATACCCAGCAGTGTATTAGTACACTGTATAGAGCAGCCATACCCAGCAGTGTATTAGTACACTGTATAGAGCAGCCATACCCAGCAGTGTATTAGTACACTGTATAGAGCAGCCATACCCAGCAGTGTATTAGTACACTGTATAGAGCAGCCATACCCAGCAGTGTATTGGTACACTGTATAGAGCAGCCATACCCAGCAGTGTATTAGTACACTGTATAGAGCAGCCATACCCAGCAGTGTATTAGTACACTGTATAGAGCAGCCATACCCAGCAGTGTATTAGTACACTGTATAGAGCAGCCATACCCAGCAGTGTATTAGTACACAGTCGTTGTGCAGCCATACCCAGCAATGTATTAGTACACTGTCGTTGTGCAGCCATACCCAGCAGTGTATTAGTACACTGTCGTTGTGCAGCCATACCCAGCAGTGTATTAGTACACTGTCGTTGTGCAGCCATACCCAGCAATGTATTAGTACACTGTCGTTGTGCAGCCATACCCAGCAGTGTATTAGTACACTGTCGTTGTGCAGCCATACCCAGCAGTGTATTAGTACACTGTCGTTGTGCAGCCATACCCAGCAGTGTATTAGTACACTGTCGTTGTGCAGCCATACCCAGCAGTGTATTAGTACACTGTCGTTGTGCAGCCATACCCAGCAGTGTATTAGTACACTGTATAGAGCAGCCATACCCAGCAGTGTATTAGTACACAGTCGTTGTGCAGCCATACCCAGCAATGTATTAGTACACTGTCGTTGTGCAGCCATACCCAGCAGTGTATTAATACACTGTCGTTGTGCAGCCATACCCAGCAGTGTATTAGTACACTGTCGTTGTGCAGCCATACCCAGCAGTGTATTAGTACACTGTCGTTGTGCAGCCATACCCAGCAGTGTATTAGTACACTGTCGTTGTGCAGCCATACCCAGCAGTGTATTAGTACACTGTCGTTGTGCAGCCATACCCAGCAGTGTATTAGTACACAGTATAGAGCAGCCATACCCAGCAGTGTATTAGTACACTGTCGTTGTGCAGCCATACCCAGCAGTGTATTAGTACACTGTCGTTGTGCAGCCATACCCAGCAGTGTATTAGTACACTGTCGTTGTGCAGCCATACCCAGCAGTGTATTAGTACACTGTCGCTGTGCAGCCATACCCAGCAGTGTATTAGTACACTGTCGTTGTGCAGCCATCCCCAGCAGTGTATTAGTACACTGTATAGAGCAGCCATACCCAGCAGTGTATTAGTACACTGTCGTTGTGCAGCCATACCCAGCAGTGTATTAGTACACTGTCGTTGTGCAGCCATACCCAGCAGTGTATTAGTACACTGTCGTTGTGCAGCCATACCCAGCAGTGTATTAGTACACAGTATAGAGCAGCCATACCCAGCAGTGTATTAGTACACTGTCGTTGTGCAGCCATACCCAGCAATGTATTAGTACACTGTCGTTGTGCTGCCATACCCGTTGCTCTCTCTCTCATTCTCTCTCTCTCATTCTCTCATTCTCTCTCTCTCTCATTCTCTCTCTCTCTCATTCTCTCTCTCTCATTCTCTCTCTCATTCTCTCATTCTCTCTCTCTCTCTCTCATTCTCTCTCTTCTCTCTCTCTCTCATTCTCTCTCTCTCTCTCTCTCTCTCATTCTCTCTCATTCTCTCTCTCATTCTCTCTCTCTCTCATTCTCTCTCTCTCTCTCTCTCTCTCTCTCTCTCTCTCTCTCTCTCTCTCTCTCTTCTCTCTCTCTCATTCTCTCTCTCTCATTCTCTCTCTCTCTCTCTCTCTCTCTCTCTCAATCTCTCTCTCTCTCTCTCTCTCTCTCTCTCTATCTCTCTCTCATTCTCTCTCTCTCTCTTCTCTCTCTCTCTCTCTCTCTCTCTCTCTCTCTCTCTCTCTCTCTCTCTCTCTCTCTCTCTCTCTCTCTCTCTCTCTCATTCTCTCTCTCTCTCTCATTCTCTCTCTCTCTCTCATTCTCTCTCTCTCTCTCATTCTCTCTCTCTCTCATTCTCTCTCTCTCTCTCATTCTCTCTCTCTCTCATTCTCTCTCTCTCTCTCATTCTCTCTCTCTCTCTCATTCTCTCTCTCTCTCTCATTCTCTCTCTCTCTCTCATCTCTCTCTCTCTCATTCTCTCTCTCTCATTCTCTCTCTCTCTCTCTCTCTCTCTCTCTCTCTCTCATTCTCTCTCTCTCTCTCTCTCTCTCTCTCTCATTCTCTCTCTCTCTCTCTCTCTCTCTCATTCTCTCTCTCTCTCATTCTCTCTCTCATCTCTCTCTCTCTCTCATTCTCTCTCTCTCTCTCATTCTCTCTCTCTCTCATCTCTCTCTCTCTTCTCTTCTCTCTCTCTCTCATCTCTCTCTCTCTCTCATTCTCTCTCTCATTCTCTCTCTCTCTCTCTCATTCTCTCTCTCTCTCTCTCATTCTCTCTCTCTCGCATTCTCTCTCTCTCTCTCCTCTCTCTCTCTCTCTCTCTCTCTCTCTCTCTCTCTCTCTCTCTCTCTCTCTCTCTCTCTCTCTCTCTCTCCTCTCTCTCTCTCTCTCTCTCTCTCTCTCTGGTAACTCAAGATGAACCAACACTACGCTCATTTGACCTCCGTTACACAACAATAGACTTGTTTTGTGTTTAATTTGTTCACTTTATACTTAGGTATGTTATCCTAATAATTACTTAAAATTGTGTACATAGCGAGCTTAGCACTATGGACAACTATATTTTCTAATGTTTCAACTGCGATGGATATGACATTTTAGCGTCTAGGCAACTTTTGCCGTATGGTTTCTGGCACCACGAGGGAAGGCAGGCGTTGTACTGGTATATTACCTCAAGAAAGTTAAATCCGAATCATTCACAGCGTTCAAGAGAGAACGTGATTAAAACCTCTGAAGGATGCCTGATCAACCAGACTGAAGTTCATACATCAGGCAAGCCATACATTCATACATCAGGCAGCGAGCACCTGCATCCAACAGCCTGATGTACTAAATCACAATTGAGGAAAGCAGGCGTACCCTACTTATATTGAACTTTTATTGTTAGCTTAAATTATGCTTATTTTATAACAATATTAATGTATGCCTTTTTTCAGCCTGGAGCCGAGTATGCAAGGAGATGGAGATGGGGCGCCAGAACGGCCATGACCCAAGAGGTGAGGGGCATGTTTAAATAAAAATAATTTAATTTATTGTGTCTGGATGACAGGCAGCCAGTTTATACATGCAGTACATGTTAGGCTTATATATAGGTCCGCCCCCCAGGATCAAATTAGTGACCCTTCCCAGGATGCAACCCCACAAGAAGCTGACTAATTCCTGGGTACCTATATACTGCATTAAGTGATAGGAAATGCGCCCAATCATTTCTGTCCCACCTGGGATTCGAACCTGAAATTCTGGATAGTGAGTCAAGAACGAGCATGACTATACTATTGGGACCCTTTAACCCCTCAACTGCTCGGTTTTCAAATATGACCCCCCCCCCCAGTGTGCAGGAAATAAATTCTCTGGATTTTTTTTTTTTTTTTTTGAAAGTGTCAAAAATCCTTCCCTGAGTATTGGTATGGTAACTGAAGGTCGAAGTTTTACTTACTTTGTCTGCTATGGGGTCCGTAAGTTGGCCCGTGACGTCGTCATTCCCATTTCACCCGTGACGTACGCTCCCGGGGGCCAGTAGGGCGCCCAGGGCAGGATGCGCGTACTGCCGTGAATGTATTTTTGTTCATTTTTTGCGCACAGTTCCAAATACATTTTATTTGTTGTTACGTGCCAATCCTATGTATAATGAACACGTACACTATATTATGGCAGTAGAACATTCGTACTGTCCGAAGACACTGTGTTACGTACATGACACGTGTGTACACATATCCGGCACATATTTCCAATGTATCATGCAAATTTATGTATATATATAATCTATTTACACACTGTACAGTATCGCACACTGTACACACACACCATGTGGTCCCGGGTTCGATCCCGGGCGCCGGCGAGAAACAATGGGCAGAGTTTCTTTCACCCTATGCCCCTGTTACCTAGCAGTAAAATAGGTACCTGGCTGTTAGCTGTCACGGGCTGCTTCCTGGGGGTGGAGGCCTGGTCGAGGACCGGCCACGGGGACACTAAAGCCCCGAAATCATCTCAAGATAACCATAAACACATTCAGAACTCCACGAGACCAATACAATTCTGTATAATACAGAATTATATGAACATGTTTGCTGATGCTAAGATAATAGGAAGGATAAGAAACTTAGATGATTGTCATGCCCTTGAAGAAGACCTGGACAAAATAAGTATATGGCGTACCACTTGGCAAATGGAATTTAATGTAAATAAATGCCATGTTATGGAATGTGTAATAGAACATAGACCCCACACAACCTATAAATTATGTGAGAAATCTTTAAAGAGTTCTGATAAAGAAAGAGATCTAGGGGTGGTTCTAGATAGAAAACTATCACCTGGGGACCACATAAAGAACATTGAGCGAGGAGCCTATGCCACGCTTTCTAACTTAAGAATTGCTTTTAAATGCATGGATGGCGAAATACTAAAGAAATTGTTCACGACTTTTGTTAAGCCAAAGCTAGAATATGCAGCGGTTGTGTGGTGCCCATATCTTAAGAAGCACATCAACAAACTGGAAAAGGTGCAAAGACATGCTACTAAGTGGCTCCCAGAACTGAAGGGCAAGAGCTACGAAGAGAGGTTAGAGGCATTAAATATGCCAAAACTAGGAGACAGAAGAAAAGGAGGCGATATGATACTACGTACAAAATAGTAACAGAAATTGACAAAATCGATAGGGAAGATTTCCTGATACTTGGAACTTCAGGAACAAGAGGTCATAGATTTAAACTAACTAAACAAAGATGCCGAAGAAATATAAGAAAATTCACCTAAAAAGAAAGGGGACGAGAAAGGTTTCAAATAATATACAGTGGCACCTCGACTTACGATTGCCCCGACTTACGATAATTTCAAGTTACAATGTAAATTTGATTGAAAAATGTGACTCGACTTACGATAGTGTCGTCGACTAACGATATTTGTTGGTACACATTTGGGTTGACCGAGTGTGTGGTTCCTGGTGTACGCGGGCCGATCTGCCTCAATTTACTAGAGCTGCCCACTTAGTAACGATCAGCTTATAAGAAATTCCCTTTTTGTGGTGATTTTTTGCATTTTGAATATAATGGGTCCCAAGAAAGTCAGTGGTAAGGTTCAACATATGAAAAGACATGTAAGAATGGCCATAGAGGAAAAACAAGAGGTCATATGTAAACATGAAAATGGTACTAGTGTTGTTGAACTAGCTAGGCAGTACAATAAATCTTCAGAGGCGGCGGTGGCGGCATTAGAGGATGTCCCTTCCCCATCTTCACACATTAATTAAGAAAATGTGTGCAGTATGGGAAGGACTGCAAAGTTTTGCTGAAAAGAATCACCCAGATAAAGCTGTACAGCCCTTTGCATTGATCTTTTTAATGACAATGTGATGCCTCACTACAAACAAGTAGCCAGGGGCCTCGTAGCCTGGTGGATAGCGCGCAGGACTCGTAATTCTGTGGCGCGGGTTCGATTCCCGCACGAGGCAGAAACAAATGGGCAAAGTTTCTTTCACCCTGAATGCCCCTGTTACCTATCAGTAAATAGGTACCTGGGTGTTAGTCAGCTGTCACGGGCTGCTTCCTGGGGGTGGAGGCCTGGTCAAGGACCGGGCCGCGGGGACACTAAAGCCCCGAAATCAACTCAAGATAACCTCAAGAAGTGTTGGAAAGAAGGGAAAAACAACCTTCAATGGAACGATTTCTAGTGATAAAATCAAGCAGGGAGCTAAAAGCAGGTCCTAGTGGTATGCAGGCAAAACGTGCCAGTGTGTGTACCCCAGAGACGTCCTCACTGCCTGATGTTATAATGGAAGGGGACTCTCCTTCCAAACAGTAACACCTCTCCTCCTCCTCCCCCTCCTCACCATCTTCCATATGTCATCAAGAGTCCTCCATAAACGTAAGATAAACATATGTACTGTATTGTAGTTAGAAATTTTGTTTTTATTCAGTATAAAATGTATTTGTAAGTTAATATTTTGGAAGGTGGGGAACGGATTAATTCAATTCCCTTTATTTCTTATGGGAAAAATCACTTCGACTTACGATCTGTCTCTGGGAACGGATTACCATTGTAAATCGAGGCCCCCACTGTATACCAGTATGTGTAAGATACTAGAGGGCCAGGTCCGAGGTCTCACAGTAGAATACCAAGATACCGGAGCGAAAGGTACGGAAGGAAATGCAGAATAGAACCAGTGAGGAGTAGAGGTGCCATAGGCACAATCAGAGAGCACTGAACATCAGAGGTTCACAGCTGTTCAATACTTCCCCAGCAAGCATTAGAAATATTGCCAGAATGAAGGTGGGTGTATTCAAGAGGCACTTGGACAGGTTCTTGCAAGAAGTGTTGGACCAATCGGGTTCCAGTGGGTATGTGGGCCTGTGGCCCACATGCCCACTAGGATTAGAGTATGTGGGCCTGTGGGCCCACATACTCACTGCTCATACTCTACATACAGAGTAACTCTGAAAACCCTCTCTGGGTATGCTCAAGGTATGTCCCATACTTTCAGTAATCATGGTGAGATTCCATCCGGATCAACAGCCTTTTCTCATGTCCGGATCCAACGGATGCCTCTTAACCTCATCTCTGGTAATTTTGACCCCTTCCAAGGCCACCTGGTTTACTGCCGCCTCTCCTAGCTCAGGGAGTTCACCTTGTTCTATTGTGAAGACCTCTTAGAATATCTTGTCGAGTTCTTCACACACACCTCTTTGTCATTCTCCGTGTACCTGTCCTCACCCATTCTGAATTTCATCACCTGTTCTTTCACTGTTGACTTCCTACTGATGTGTCTGTGGAGCAGCTTTGGTTCGGTCTTGACTTTATTTGTCATGTCATTTTCATAATGTGTGCCTGCTTCTCTTCTCACACTGATATACTCATTCTTGGCTCTCTGCTTTCTGGTGTTTTTTTATTTTGGAAGTTCCTCCACACCCTTTTGTTCAGTTCCTTTGATTCCATACATGCTCTATTAAACCACAGATTCTTCTTTTTGCTTTTCATTTTTTCTTATTTGGGCTGGGATAAACCTGTTTACTGCCTCCTGACACTTTCGGGTGACATAGTCCATCGTGTATTGTACTGTCTTGGTTCCGAGTTCTGTGTCCCATGATATTTCTCTCAGGAATTTTCTAATCCCATAATATTCCTTTTGGTATTCCAGCCCCCTTGTTTTCTAGTTCTTTTTGGGGGGAAATTACTCCTAGCTCTACCCAGGTACTCAAATATCAGTACACAGTGATCACTCGTTCCCAAGGGGGCTTCCAACTTAACTTCCCTTATATCTGACATATTCAGTGTGAATATCAGATCAAGCATAGCTGGTTCATCTTCTCTCGTTCTTGTCGGTCCCTTGATGTGTTGACTTAGAAAGTTTCTTGTTGCCACGTCCAGCAGCTTAGCTCCCCTTGTATCTGGTCCTCCATATAGGTCTCTGTTCTCCCAATTTATCTTCCTGTGGTTGACGTTATCACGGGGGGTGTGTTACTGATGTTATCAGCCGTGATACGCATTTGTTGTCATAGAGAGCTAGTGAGAGCTTGGTGGTGGTGGTCCTTACCAGGTTGTCTAGGGAGTATGAGGGGTAAGGGAAACAGCCTAGTACACGTCACAAATTTATACGTACAAGTCACAGGATTACATTTAACAAGGCGTTTTCCTTACAACATAAGATCACTATGTATTATAACTCAAGTGGCTCTGACCACCCCACGACTCACTGTCCCATTCCTGGTGTCGTGCACCCAGCCACAAACCGCTATCATCCAACGACACATATATTTTTGCCTCTAGGAAACCTGGACTCTTATAAAACCTCTCCAACTTCTGCAATATTACTCTACCCAATCTTGCAACCCTGGATATAGACAAGGATAGGCTTATCTGACTGAACGGCCGGAGAAAACCCCTCAAATAGCAGGAACGTTCGGCAGCGATACACCTTCCCCTTCAGTCAAGATGGCGTCCACCTCTCTTGCCTCATCGCCCCTTAATACTCTACTCTTTACATATGCTATCAAACACATTAACA